ACCAATTTTTCATGTGTTGCCAAGAAAACTAGATAGGGAGTCCATGATACTGTTTTACCTTCATAACAAGTTTCTAAGTTTGAAACAATTATAAAATATGTATACATTTTTATTGCAATACCTTCCCCATTTTACTAATGAAAAACATAGGTTAAATTGTAAATAATAGGGTGCCATAATAGAATTAATGAAATTGGTTTATTACACATGAGGCTAAATTGCAAAAGATAAGGTGTCATGTAGAGTTAATGAAATTAGTTTACCACATATGAGGCTAAAATATAAAAGATAGGGTCATAATAGAATTAATAAAATTTATTTACAGCATATGGGGCAATATTGAAAAAATTAGGATGACATAGTAGAATTAATGAAATTGAGTTAAGAACAATTACTTTAGACAGTGACGACTAATTGTTGTCACTAACTTTGAACCGGTAACCACATTGTGATAACATTGTAAGTAGTCACCATAGGGCCCATTTCAGTGACAACATTTTTTCAAGTCGTCACAATAGTGATTTCCTGTCACACAGGCTAGCGCGCAACCCATATTGTGACGATTAATCCCGTGTTGTCACTGATGATGAGTGTACCCTCAATCAACTATGATAACATCAAAAGTCGTCACTAAATTTGCTCAACTGTGACAACTTTTTCTGTTATCACTGAGAATGTTGTCACAAAAGGCTAAATTTCTTGTAGTGTTACTTACGAATTTTAAGTGCAAAAAATTATTAAAAACAATATTTGTCTTTAAAATAAATTATGTAATATGTTATTTTTGAAATCTATTTCATAATATATAGAATTTGGGGTCATAAGTTTGTATTAAAAGATTCCAAATAAATTTGTTTTGAAAAAATAAAAAAATAAAGATAAAATTGATAAAACGTTCATATAGTGTGAGAATGGTACTTAACTAACATCTAGCAAAATGGTCTGATGGTGAGCATGTCATAAACCTTGACCTAAGGTCATAGAGTCGAATCTCAACAAAAAACTTGGTAAAACTTTTTCCTCAAAATTGGTTTCTCCAAAAAACTAGTCGGGTTCCCGGTTTAATCCAGTTGAACCACTGGATCGTTGACCAGTCAACAGTTCCGGTGCTTAACCGATCTAATTAGAGACCCGGCCCGGTCCAATGGCGGGTTCACCGGGTTGACCAGTTCGACCGTCGGACCGGGCCGGGTTTTATAACTATGATCAAAACCTTAACCTTAGGGAAGGTTTGTGTAATTTTACAAACTTCAAGGGAGGCTAATGAAATTATAAAAAATCTCAGTGGAGGTTTCTGAAATTATCCCTTAATATTATGATATTTGAGCATTTTTCTCCATCCGTACATGAATAGATTGTCTTCAACTTTGATATCTCAACTCTTGTGATGACAGTAGATGATGATGATGTTGTTTTTATTTGGCAGAATATTTATCATGTCTTCTGGATTCAACTCCTACAATATTAAAAACATTTTTGTTAGTTTGTTTTACTAATGGTAAATTGTATAAAAGTATAGGTGGAAAACATTACTAAATATTTGATGTCTTGGGATCTGATTGTTATGTAGATTGAAAACCTTATAAGCAATCCTTCTCTTGGGAAAAATGCTTGCAATTTTGGATGACAAAAGGATAAATAACAATATTGTTGGAGTAGAACTCATACTAAAATGTTAATCTAAATTTATAAATATCTCTCAAAGAGAAAAAGCAAGCAAAATAATTTTTTTCTTAGAATCCATTCGGTTGCGTATTATTTGTTTGAGAGTTTTCCCTTTTTTTTTATGTGTTTTTGGTTGGTAAGAAAAATGTGAAATGGTTATATTATGTTGATGATGCTAAGGTTTTATAGAATTTGTGTGATACGGAAGCATAAGTATGTGAATGAAAAGTTTGGGTGTGGATGAAATTTTATGGTTAGGTAGTATTAATATTGTGATCGTTGATTAATGTATGTTGGTAACAGATAGAAATAGTGAAAATATTTAGTATTATTAAATTTTTAAAGGAAGTGGATCTTAGTCTTTAACATTATTGTATTAAACGAAAATTTGCAGGTGGTAAGTTAACAGCCTATCGTTTATATGGATCATTGGAAGTGGTAAAAACGCATTTTATTAGATGAAAACATATATAGTGTTAATTATATTTAGTATTTGTATATCTAAGGATTGGAATAATTTAAGCATTACAGTGGATAGATTTTTACAAGCTTGTCATCAAATATCTACATTCGATATTGGTTTTTGACTTGAGTGTGATATTATAGTTGTATATCCTGGTTTAATAGGATGATATTTGAGCATTTTTTTCCATCCATAAGTGAAAATGTTATCTTCAATTTTGATACCTCAACTCTTGTGGTGGCAGTGGTTCACAATGATGTCATTCTTATTTGGTGAAATGTGTATGCGTCTTCTAGGTGTAACTCCTGCAATACCAAAGAGATTGTGTTAGTTTTTTTTAATGCTAGTAGACTTAATACAAATTGATTAAGATAAAAAATAGTAAAGATGGATGTGCACAAAAAGCGTTAAATAAGTGTCTAATCATGGAATCATTTATTATAATATTTTTATTAACATATATAGAGTAATTGACAGAAACAAATCAATGCCAAACATCTTAGATGTTCATTTATAGTTAATACCATGCTTTTATTATTATAATTATTATTTTTTATAAACCTATCGAACAAAATCTAAGTTGGCTATACCGGCTTAAAATGATTATGATTGCTATCATTACATTGAAATTTTAAAATAAATGAACTATGCATAAAAACAGTAATACTAACTTTAGTAATTGGTCAAAAAGGTGGTATCAAAAATTTCTCTCTAATCATCTCAAATCTTTTCCACAAATTATTGAATTTTTTTAAGCACTATCTAACTTTTTTTTAAGAACTCAAACAGATAGCAAATAACGATTAAGATCAAAAAAATGGTATTAAATTTTTCTCAATAATTTAAAATGTTCTTTACACATTATCCATTTTTTTAAGAACTCAAAAGGATAGCAAATAACGCTTCTATCATTACACTAAAATTGAACTGTGCATAAAAATAGCAATAACTAACTTTAGTAATAGGTCAAAAAAATGGTATGCAAACTTTCACTCTAATTATTTAAGGTATTTCTCATGAATTATCAAATTTTTTAAGGACTATTTAATTTTTTTAAGAACTCAAACAGATAGCAATTAATGATTATGCTCAAAATATGGTATGAAAATTTTTTCCAATCATTTAAAATTATTATCCATTTTTTTAGAATTCAAGAGGATAGCAAAAAATATTTTATAATTAATCGTCCAAAAAAAAAACCCTTACACATTATTCTTTTGTTTAATAACTCAAAAGTTGGTATCAGTCCAAAACCAAGCACCATGTCTTTTTTTTTTTTTTAATTACGCTCAGGCCTTGGCAAACCAAAGCAAACCGTGTCTAAAGAACATTACAAATGAATGAATCTTTTTAATTATTTTTCTTAGGAATAGAAAGAAATTTGGAGTGGAATTGGCACTAAAATATTTCACTAAATTTAAATAATAAAAAGAAAAATCTGAAATATGGAGAAATCTGAATACAAAGGGATTTGGAGTAGAATTGGCACTAAAATATTTCACCAAATTTAAATGATAAAAAAGGAAAATATCTGAAATGCAGAGAAATGTGGAGTAAAATATATAAAATGATTTTTTAATGTTTTTGTGAGGGATGTAGATACCAAAATAGCAATAATTCATTTTATTCCATTTTTATTTTTATTCATTATATATTATTTGTCGTTCTTATTTTAAGTTGCTTAAGTAAAATAATTTTTTGCATGGTTTTGTAGGAAAATGCAGAAAAAGAAAAGAAAAGAAAGCAAAATAAAAAAAATATCATTTTTTCTCTAAAAAAAAAAAATTTCTGTGCATGTGCGCGTTATTTTCCCCATTTCATACCAGAAACCAGAAGAAAGGTACGAGGAAGAGCTGGAATTTTGGAGCATTTTCCTTCAATTTTTCTTCCGTTTCTTTTTTCTCCAAGATTACTAGTACAAAGGCCACCTCGCCAATCAAATTCTTGTCAAGAAATCTCTGGAAGGAAGGCCATCAAGTGGCCAAAAAAGAGGCTAGCAAAACAAATTTCATCTGTACCATTAAAATGAGGGTTTTTGGGGTTTCTTGGCCTCATTTAAATAGAAAAGAACGTAGCTATTAGGGAGGGGAAGGGAGAAAAAGGGGCAGAGACAAAGAGACATCAAAAAAGAAAAAACAGAGAGAAAAAAAAAGAGTTCTTTTTTTTGCATTTTTTCGGGATAAGGCTGACTTTCCAGCCTTCTTGTGAGGAAATTTTATCCTTCAATTTAGCTTCATTGGAGAAGTTGTTGACTTCTGCACAAACTAGGAAGTTGGGAGAGCAAGTTTCATTTAGAAACTTTTTGCAAAACCATCTAGAAAGTCCTCAAATTCGGCCCCAAACTTGCTGCCTCCCTTCCACTGGTGCTGCTACAATTTCTTGGGGGCTTCATCAAATTTGCTTCCAGTCACATTTCCTAGCTTCAATCTTACCCAAAATCATCTTCAGGTACTCCCACAAATGCTCCTTGTTTGATTCGACATCAATGCAAAAGATTTGAGAATGTTTATGGAAGTTCATGTTCAAGAACTTGGATCCATTTTTTTTCTATGAGTATGTGGTTTTTTGGGCCTTGTTGGATGCTTGTTTAGATCACTGGTGTCATGAGCTTTGTGTACATGTAAAGATCCGGCCTCAAAAGTGAGAAAAAGGACTTTCGGCGAGGTTTCGGCCAGTTTGGCCGTAATTTTTCCAGTTTCCGGCGGGTCGACCCGTCAGAAGTTCTTGATTTCTTTTCTTTCTATTTTTGCTCCGATTTTTCTTGTTTTGTTTTATTAGGTTTGATCCAATCCATAAATGGTTTTTTTTTTCTCAAAAAAAATCAAAAAATCATTATTAAAGAAATGAGAAAAACCACCAAACAGACCGACCTCTACTCCCCTACCTGGCCATGGACAATCCTCCTAACAGATGGAAACCCTATCCTATCTAAGCACATGGCTCCTCTAGCCGCCGGAGGTAATGTTGATGTGGAAGTGTAAATCTCCTCTCCCTCCTGAGCACACCCAACCTTTGACAAAACATCTGCAACTTGGTTTGCCTGGCGGAGACAATGGCTAACCCGTAAAATGTGATCCTTCAACGCAAACAACTGCTGTATCTCTTGATAAACACTCCAAGGACAACCAGTCTTACCAAGTAGAATATGGACTAAAATGAGAGAATCAACCTCGATGTCCAATCTGCTAAACCCCCGTTGAACACACAGCTTAACCCCAAAAAGTAGAGCTCGAACTTCGGCTTGTAGACTAGAAGCTTGGCGAAGATAGCAGGAAAACGCCAAGAGCAACCTGCCACCGCCATCCCGAAGAATCCCTCCTCCCCCACTAATACGGAGTTACCCTTGGAACACCCATCAGTATTGAATTTGAGCACATCATCTGAAGGCCGAGACCCACTCACTAGCGTATAGGACACCCGTGGAGCCCACCGGGAAATTTCTACATAAAAGTGCACCCAAGCCGCTGGAAAGGAACTACGTTGCCGGAAGTATAATGCAAACAGCTCCAGGAGATCGGACATGACCAAGTTGCACAACCTGTCAAACCCTACTTGGATCCCCTCATATCTCATGGAGTTTCTGAGTTTCCACAGGTGCCAGCAAATCAGAAGCGGAAGAATGTGATGAATAAAGGCCAAATACCGATTGCTCCTCTTCCCATACCACCAGGCTGCTAGACATAACCGAAACGATGAACCACTTCAAGATATACCCACTGGATCCCCGAAGAAATGCCAAACCCGTGATGCCATGTCACCCTCAGCAAAGACATGCTCTATCGTCTCCATATTTGGGGATGGGCAGCACCCACACTTGGACGGCCCCTGAACCCCAAATCTCCATAAGCAGCAATCCACCGGTAAGCGACCACGTAATATTCGTAATAAGAAGAATGAGATTTTCAAGGGTAACACCGGGTGCCACGTTCTTCGAGACATGAAGGAGCTATTGGCACGCCGGCGCACCAGCTGAAACGCAGACTGTAATGTAAACCGTCCCGACTGTGACGGTCTCCATACCATTAAATCAGGAAGATGGCCCACCGGAGGAGCAACCCGAGCAACCTCATTGACGACCTCGATCGGCACCCATTGCTAAAGAAGTTGAAAGTTCCAAGATCCATTAGTTACAAAATCAGCAACCAGATGATCTGACACACTATCCAACCGCGAAGCCAATGACCCAGTCCCAAGCCAATTGTCCAACCAGAAATTCGAGCTACCAGAGCACCCAATCCATCCAATGTGACACTCCGCAAGATGACGCACCGCCATCATCCTTCTCCATACTTGCGACCCCCTATCACGATATACCAAATTAGGATGCACCTGCGCGCAATACTTAGCCTTCATGAAGGTCGCCCACAGAGATGACAAGTGATTTTTAGTTGTTTTAGATGTTGTTTTGGGGAAGATTAGCACTTGAATGCATGAATTCCAGGTTAGGGTTTTGAATGACCCTGTTCTGTCCGGTTTTATTTGAGCATGTTAGAGGCCGAATCGGATCTTGCCCAAAACATGAAAGTTGTATAGAATGATATTTTATAGTAGCCTACAAAAGTTCAGCTCAATCGGAGTAACGTATCCTGTGAAAAGACCAAAATACCCCTGCTATCCTGTTTCTATTCGAACATGCTAATCAGCTTCTGTAATTGGTTGTTTTATCAGTAATACTACTGATTTGGTTGTTGATGTCTTCTTAAGAATTCTATCCTTGTGTCTTAGTTTTCTAATGGCTTTATAATTACCTGAATTGGAGTTGTGTGTGCTGAGATATGAGTGAATGAATCAGGACTGCTCGTTGAATTTCACAGTGAGTTTTGAACTGGAAAATCTGGAGTTGTTTTGGTAAATTTGACCTAGTTAGGGTGAGAACTGGACTGAGTGGTCTTCATGAAAGTTGTAGGTCCTTGTCTTAGCTTCGAAATGGTATAAATGTCATTCCAATCCGATAACTGTAGCTCCAGTTGTGTCCGTTCCGCTAAATGACATCGAAACTATCTTCTGGTTTTAAGGTTTATAATTGGGGCTTTTCTAGGGTTTCTTTGTTGAGCTACCATTTGGTTGTTTTGAAGGGTATCGTGGCTCTAATTAAAGGTGTTTGATAATTTGTGATTGGGTGTTGAGGTTTGGTTGGAAAGTAAAAAAAGACAAGGGAAATGCTGTCAAAATTTTCGCGGAGCTTCTGCACAGTCTCGGGAAATTTGCTATATCTTGATGTAGGAATGTCGGAATTGAGTTCCGTTTGTTGCATTTTAAACTAGATTCATAGGGTTATAAACCGTGTAAATTTCAGACCCTGTTTCTGTCTGTGAAAATTATGGTGATTCTTCAAAGTTGACTGAAATATTGTACCTGTTCTGTCTTCCACTGGATAAAGCAGCAACTTGCGACTTGAATTTGACTGACTTGCGTTCCGAATCTTACAATGGTGTTCTCTGGAAAGTTATAGCCCTTTGAATGTATTTTCCAACGGTATAACTTTTACTAATTTTGGACTCACAAACCTTGAGATATGATTTTTCATATAGGGTTGCGCGAAACTGGAAATTCCTGTTTTCCTAGTATCGACTTTACTTTCATTTTCTACTTCAAATTTGGAGTTGGTCAGTCATTGTAGGTAGGGCTTTGAGGTTGTTCATGCCTTTAAGACTAATTGTTACCTTTTCACTCCGAGGTCACCTCTTTGCTTTGCATTAATGGCTCTTTTGACTAGGCATATGGCTCGTAACCGAGTCTCACTTGCAAATTCCATACTAGGTCTTGGAGTCGAGTCTTAAGTGTTTGCCTTGATTGTTCTAGGAGGTGCCGACGATTAAAGCCACACTTGGGAAGGAAACTTTTGAAGTTATCCTTATTTGAACTGGTGAGTGTACCACTCCCCTGAATTATTGCTAAACTGGTTTCCTGTACTTGCAAATTGTTAGTTGAATGTCTTTCCTGACTGTTTATCTTGTATGAGACGAGGGTGTACTTTATCACACTCGTTCTCTTGCCTGTACTGAACAAACTGGAATCTGTTACTTGTACTTGTTATGTACTTGAACTTGTTACTTGCACTTGTTATGATGTCGTTTGGAAGAGTATCCAACGACCTTCCTGTTAAACCTGAGCTCAACCTCATGGGGAGTTAATTAAATCGAGCCAGCGAGGGCTTGGTCGAGATAATTGACAATCCATGGGTGCCTGTTCCTGGGGGAATCTTTGGGTATTGAGACTCTTGATTCCGGTATACTCGAGTATTACCATTCCTGTTCCTATTTGGCATTCGGGCCCGGTAAGGGGTATGTTTGGTGAGCGGGATTTTGGCGTTAAAGTGGTGATCTACTGGATTGGTTCCTTTATTTGAACGTTGACGGAGGGTCAACAGGGCTGGATCAAGTATTGCAACGGGGATTTGGCTCCTGAGAGCCACCTGTATCCTTGAAATTGTGATGTTCGTTCATTTCTTTTACTTGATGCGGATATGTGTCCTATAAATGTTTTCTCATGATTTCTACTGTTATATTTTTGGTACCTCATTGAGCTTCTAGCTCACCCCGTTTCCTTATCCTTGTTTTCCTTAGAGGAAATCACCTTTTGAAGACTATGATGTTTGAAGCATTTGTTGAGCTAGTTTTAGTATTCTTTTGTATAGCTCCTCGATGGTTGGAAAACTTTAAATGTATTTTAACCAAACAATTCCCTTTTGAATTGTAAATTTGCAACCATGTGTATCTAAAAGTGTTTAACCATGTTCCTACGTTGATTTGGTTTGAAAATGTTCTTTTCTAGGGTTATCTAAAGTTGTTGTGCATGTTTAGGTTTCGGACAGTGAATGTTATCTTCTCGAAGTTCTTTTGAGCGGTTGGTAGGGTTTACGCTCGTTCCGGATTCGTAGTCCCGGCAAGAGCGGGGTAGGCTGTCCGCCGAACCTTTTGGTTCGCCTTAGGGGGAGGTGGGGCTGTCACATACGGAGCTGCTGATAAATGTGCAAAAAAGTTGTTACTTGGTCCATCAAACGGTGTCACCGGCGAGACGAAGGGTGATTGATCGTATCACTAAGTTTACCTGGAAGTCTTTTTCGATACGTTATTTAGGGTTCCCGCTCTATTTTGGAAGGTGTAAATCATCATACTTTGGAGAAGTGTGTCAGTCGCTTCTAGGGAGGATTTTGTCATGGAAATCAAGGTTGCTTTCCTTTGGAGGCAAGATTGTTTTAATCAAGCATGTGTTGGCATCAATGCCAGTGCATCTGATGTCAGCTGCTGTGATCCCGAGTACGGTGTTTAGAACTATAGAAAAAGCCTGCTCGACCTTCCTGTGGGAGTCATCACCCAACGAATCAAAGTTTCACTAGATAAGGTGGTCTCAACTGTGCTATCCGGTGGACGAGGGGGGAGTTGGTTTCCGGAGACTACGGGATGTATTTACAGCCTTTTCTTACAAGTTTTGGTGGAATTTCCGAACAGGATCGTTGTTGTGGGCGACATTCATAAAGCAAAGTACTGCAGACGGCTCCATCCTTGTCAGGTAGAACTCAGAACAACGGACTCAGCAGTCTGGCGGAGGATGGTAAATGTGAGCCAACAAGTGGAGCTCTCAATGTTATGGGTTGCCAAAGAAGGGGCGTGTAATTTTTGGTATGATAACTGGTTGGGATGTGGTGCATTGTTCTTACAAACGCCGGTTAACCCAGATTTGTTGTTCCGTAATTTCATTATCAATGGTCACTGGGATGTGAATCTCTTATGTCACACACTACCAAGGGAGAATGTGTTCTCCATTTTAGAGCACCCTATCCCAAAAGAAAGGAGTGAAGTCGAAGTCATTTGGATGCCCACGACATCTGGAAAATTCTCCCTACATTTGGCTTTCGGGGACATTAGGCAGGCCCGAAACAAGTCGATGGTGTATGCATTGATTTGGCATCCTCGAATTCCTATGAAAATTTCATTTTTCATGTTCAGATTGTTGCGGGGGAGGATACCGGTACCAGATAGGTTATGTGTGAGGACCCGAAAATTTTCTTATTTTTATAGAATATTACCGGGTTATTTAAATAATTATTCACTCATTTTCTTTGAATTATTTATTTCGACCATTTTAAATCCATTTAGATGGAACAACGTCTCTTTTATGTTTTTTAAAGCGTTTTGTTGGAAAATTCACTTTTCAAAAAAATTCATTTAGTTTGGAACAACAAGTGCACGTTTTTCGAGACTATACTTGAATCGGGAGTGTATTAATATTGGAGAATTAAGAATGATTAATAGTAGATTAAGAAAAGTTAATTGAGGAATTAAAACTCGATTCATGTAAGAACTCACAAATTTACCTATTTTAAACTCCTGTTACGAGCTTATTTAATTATTTATTTGGCCAATGGCCTCGAATATTATTTTCTATCCTTATTAGACCTAAATACATGGAATTATAGTTTCATTATATTTTTAAAGTGACTTGTTTCAAAAATTAATTTTTGGAAGCTCGTTTAGTGAAAATAGTGAAAAGGTGTTTGGAAATTTTAATCGATCGAGGGTACAATAAGTTTAAAAAATTGGAGACTTGTACAATGGTCTTAAAATAGGTAATTTTATGTTTAAATACTCAAGTGATAGTCATTAGTACTATCGTTATAAAAATTTCTTGGAGGTCTCGCGTTATCGCGCTTAATTTGGAAATGCGCGTTTTTACGCGCTCGATTAATTGAGGAATTTTAGACTATTAGTTTAGACTATTAAGAATGAATAATATTAGTGTAAATGAAAGTACATTAGAGGTTTAGGGCACTAGTGAAACGAACTCGAAAGAAATTGAGCACGAAGCGCGCGTATACGCGCACTATCCTTAGTTGACTTTTGGAGCATTTTGGGCCACACATTATTGAGCTCCTCATGGGTGCATCACACTAGATCAAAACCCTTCAATTCCTCAACTAAAGTGGGTGCAACATCTCTTCTTTTCCCTCCATTTCAGCCGTGCATCTCAAAGAGCAAGAACCAAACTTGCTTCATCAATTTTCCTTCATCATTTCTTCACCAAATCTTATCCAAATCACACCAAAATTTAACTACACTTAACTAATCACTTGGAGAGCACTTTGACCTAGGAAAGGAAGCTGCTCTCACGGTTTTTCTTTGGCTCAAGAAGGCCGAAAATTTCTGCCTTGAACATCTAGTGAAGTAAGTGACGATCCAGCCTTAAAATCTTGATTTATGGAAGTTCTATTGCACATATAAGCTCATGCATGTAAGTGGGTAGCTTTATTTATGTTGGATTTTGGTGTGTGGGCTCTATGAACTCCCA